CCTCCCCATCCCCCCCCCTTTCCCCCCCCCCCCCCAAACACTGTCCCAGGAGGCTGTGAAGTTGCACAGCAGCTAACCTGTTGCTCCCTGCATCTGGTTTCCTCAGGCAGAAGATACGACTGGGCAAGGGCCGAGACACTGACTTGCTTAAAGGGTCCAGAAGCTGCCCTAAAGAGGGATGCAGTGCCTGTTCCCAAAGGAGAGCACAAGACGTGAAACAGAAGAGCTGCCTCCTGTTACTGCCCAATGCAAACACCCCCAGATGCCCCAACTGTGGATCAGGGGGCATCCTGCAGGCTGCTCCTGGCCTTCCCCCCACCCAGGCTGGGGTTCCCATGTCGTGCACAGGATGGTATCAGAGAGAAATACCAGGCTTGGGGTTCAGCAGTGGATCCAAATGCCACTGCAGAGCTAAGGCTGATGTGATGAGCAGAAAGGGGCAGAGAAAGCACCTCTGGAGTTGGAGAGGGAGCCCTTCATGGTACAAACCAGCAAGAGATACTGCTGTGTGGAAGGAGCAATGGAAGAGGCGTACGCTTTCCTTGACAAGGCTCCCCCCTTAGTGCTTCCACAGGCAGCGGCCAAATTCTCTGCACACAGCTGTCGCCCTGGGTGTCAGACTTGCGAGTGTAGGACGGAGAAAAGGGAAAAGTAAAACAGAACAAAACCCAAACACAACTGAACCCCAAACCCCGGAGGAATGCAAACAGGACCGCCTCAAGCTGGAGCACCCTCGAAGGAGGAGGGAGGGGAGCTGGGTCCTTAATATGGGGAGCAGCTTTCAGGTCATCCCTCCCTCCATGTTATCTTGCAATTCCGATCCATCTGAGGAAGCTAGCCAGGGTGCCTTGTTCCCCACCCCCTTCCCCGCGCGCGCACACACACGTCGCCACCCAAGGAGCCCTGGACTGGAAATTTCCTTTAATAAAGATTTACAGTATCAAACTTGGAAAAAAAAAAAACAAAACTTTTTTTCGTCTTTTTTTTTTTTACGAAAAATCTGTACGATAAAATGTATATAATTATATATATATATATATATATTTCTCTCTCTTTAAATATTTCCACGTGGTCCTTTTTGATATCCAATATGGATTACCTACCATGGCTATGGTATCAACAGCTTTAACAACACCCAGGCCTCTTGTCCTTAATCGAGTGACCAGAGATTACGTGCCGGCAGCAGCACGAAACTAGCAATCACATGGATGAGCCTTTGGCACCCTTCCAAGAAATGGAAAATACTTGGCCATGAGGGACGTGCCACTAAAGAATTCAGATATGTTTCTCTTCTCATTCCAGCACCAAGAAGACCCCACAGAACTACATTTAATTACCCATCGCCCTCTTTGTTTCATGGACTTCGTTTCCCCGGTGTAGTCAGGGATGCCCAGATGGGTGTTCCCATCTATTCAGGAACAACATGGAGCTCTGGAGACATTCAAGAAACTGGAAGCATTTGGGCATTCCCAAGTCTACTGGCCATTCTTTTTAAATGCTATATTTAATTTAAAGCCCCAACAGTGCTAGGAATCTAAACTCTGCCTGTTTTAAGAGGCACCTAACTATTCTTGAGCTGTAGAACATGAAAAGGGACCAGGGAACAACAGTAACATCTTTCTCTTCCTCAGCTTCTGCTGGGGGAGTCAATAATGGGTACTGATACACAGGACATCGATCTGCCTTCTAGAAGATAAGGAGGGAGGGAAAAGAAATGAGGTAATGCTATGTGTCACCCACACTATAGTTGCTGAAAAGTCACTTTTAGAAAAACTTCCTCCTCCCCTCCAGTAGAAACTTAATCTGGCGGGGCCCTAAGCCTTCGGGAAGCATTACACTTCAGCCTCTATGGCTCAGTAAAGTCACGAATGCAGATGTTTAGGACTGAATGGGCGCGTCTCCATGGGATGCTAGAACCGCAGTAAACTCATGCTACTGTGCATTAGCACATCACAGTGAAAGCTGTGCTAATGCGCTGGTGAGCAGTAATTAGCCTACTGCGCATTAGCGTCACCAAAAAGGCATGTGCTGGTGCTACTGCACAGCAGTGCTGATTACAGGCGCATTTAGTACCCGTTATTACAGATACTAAACAAAGCACCATAATTACAGCACATTGATGCACATGTAGACGTGCCCAATAAGAATCAAGTGCAAAGTTCCTCCTCCTCTACCTATTTTGCTAAGGGACTCTCTCGGAAAACCCAGACTCCAGCAAGAAGATATGAACTACCTACCACTTCTGTAGACAAGGAGGGCTTTACTAAAATTCTGCATTCTTATTATTCAAGACAGGAGAGGGCTTCTTGACTGACATCTTACATGGGTCTAGAGGGCTACTTCTCTACCCTGGTCAATGCCAGGAGCATCCTCCTGCTAACCTATTACACATCCATCACTTTTTTCCTTTGGAACCCTAACCTACTTCACACATCTTCTCTTGAGCACTAGCTATCTTCTCTCCTCATCTCCAACTTCAGCAATCTCATCCACTTCTAACCTGCATTGGAACAGGCATCCGACACCCCATAAGTCTTTGACCCCCACAGAATGCCAGACGCTCCCCCTCTTCTTGCCTGTGTCAAACCAAACACCAACATAACTATTTTTATGCTGACCTGGAAGCGCATTCATCCTCTGTCCCATTAAAGAACAGCAGAATCTTCTCCCTTTGGCTTCCCACTTCCTGCTGAGCCGTAATTCCCTCTTCTCAATCATTCCTCAGAACCATAAGTGCTACTTATCTACCCCCATTTTAGTCCTGCCCTTCGCATATCTCTTGGGATAATTCAGACAGCACTGCCCAAAGAAAAAGTGTCAAGTTTCAAGGGTCATCTTCACACAGGTAGCCTTAACCCTCTCAATACGAACCACTAAAGGTCTTTTACTCTTTGGCACCCTGCCTTAGTGACTGACCAAGCTGTTAAAGAACCCCTCCTCCTCTTCCCCACCCAGCATCCTATAGCCCATCGCTGGCTGGCAGAGACCAGTGAACATGGCCTATGAGGTTGAAGTGTTCACTTCAGGCAGAGGCGGTTCAGCCACCATTGCCTTTGTCAAGTAGAGGAGTCTCCACCAGCTTCTTGCCCGTAGGTGACTGCCCCTCTGGTTCAGTGCTTTAAAAACATCTCCATATCATGCTCTATAGAAACCTCTTTTCACAGTGCTGATTCCCAGCAGAACAGCTCCTACCCTGCAATCAATTCTGCTTCAGTCCAGTAATACCTCCAAAATTACTGCCCCTTACCCCACCTCTCTCCACATTTCCTGCAATTCCTCATCTTAAGCTTCAGGAAACCCTGAAAAAGCCACTGTTACAAGATTGTGGATTATCTGGAAGAAATACGTGGCATAAGTATACCCAATTTACAGGCACATCTTAGGGAAAGAGCTATTGAAGACTTGGCTTTGTATAAGAGAGGCTACAATTTAGTTCTTGTAAGTCACACAGGTTAGGGGTGGGGTGGGGTGAAGGAAGTATTGAATCATGTAAACTCGTGATCAGTGTGGGATGAAGACAAGGCTTTCCCCAACTGGTCTCACCCAGACCTACTGCCCTCTGTACGATGCTGCCCACCCATCCACACCCACGCACGGCAGGACAAAATCTGCTCCGGAGCTTATTTCGTTGCCACTGCTATTACAGATGGAGGTGGTGGTGGAGGGTGAAGTAACTTCTCACAGGGTAGCTGGATGCCACTAAAGGAAATTCTTCTCCACAGTCCTCACATGATGATTCCTACAGTCCATCTATTTCCTGGCTTTTGAGCATCATTTGTGAAAGCTCCGGAGGCTCGTCAGCTATCTTCTCCCAGCTGGAAGGCTGCCCACAGCCTGCAGGGGGTTGGGGAAGAACAGGGAGGACAAAGCGAGCCTTGAAACTTGTACTACATACAGAGCTCAAATCCCAACCATGAGAGGTACGCAGAGCCGCTGAGTTCACAGAGGAGCAGCCAGTTAAGTTCCCTTTGTAGACATTTCTTTCTTCTTTTTCTTTTTTTCTTCTTTCTTTTTTTTTTTTTTTTTGCACTTTTGGAA